GTGGCCTGAAGAAGCAATGTTGCCCGTCTCCCCCCTGCTTGCTGGGGTGCTGCTGAGATTTTCGGCCAGAGGCTCAGTTCTGGCCATTCTACAGGTTAGGACATGCCCCAGGGCTCCAGCGAGGACTTGGGAGGACTTGGGATTGGAGTCCAAGGGTGTCTGACCAGGCCTTGACCCTCTGTCCTGTACACATTGCTGCCCCCTATGAAGATCCATTTCTGAAAGGCAGCAGTTTCAAGAGCCATCCAGATGTTGATAGCACTGCAAGACTTTGATGTCACTTCTGCAGCCCAGTGACCACTGCCATGCCCCACAGCGTTCACACTCCTGACATTTGGTAAAGCTCACAGGCCCCCAGCCCTTAGGAAGCAGCCCTGTGTCACCTGGCTACTGGGCTGCCCCTCAGCTACAGGGGACAAGGGACAGGCAGGCCGAGGCTGGCTCCTGTGCTGTCTGAGGGGAGAACCCCAGGCCCAGCCTCACCTCGGCTCTGAGACCCCTGAGGTAGGGCTTCTCAACAGAGCGGGCACTGCCCCAAAGGCACCCTCTGGAAACTTGTTGGGCACTTCTGATTGTCCCAGACATTTGGGGAGTGCTACTGGCCTTTAGGGAATGCGGGCAAGAGATGCCAGACACACTGGAACGCTCAGGACCACGTCCACCACAGTGAAGTGACATGACTCGGATGTCCCATATCAAGCCCTTAATGGGTGTAAAACCCATTCATAAGTTATCTGAGCCTAGACCCTCACAGTCCCACAGGTGTTTTATTTCATAGAAAAATACCCCCCACCACCACCCCGCCAAGGTTTTAATTTCCACTGAATTTTCTCTGAAGACAACCATGTAAATGACAGGAAGATTTGGGGGGGAATGTACCCAACATGATTCACCATTACAGAAAACCCCACGGCCTGTAGTAATTCTGACTGTAGTGCTGAACAGCAGTGTGCAACACACAGGTTCTCCAACAGGCCCATCCAACAGCATCATCACCTCTTCTAGGGGCGTATGCCAGAGTGTTTACACAGTAAAAGAAACATTTTCTGCCCTGGCCAGTTTTGCTCAGTGGTTAGAGCGTCAGCCCGCGGACCAGAGAGTCCTGGGTTCGGTTCCTGCAAAGGGCACGTACCTTAGATGCAGTTTGTTCCTGGCCCCAGTTGGGATTATGTGGGTGGCAACTAATCGATGTGTCTCTCTCACATCGACTTCTCTCTCTCTCCCTTCCTCCCTCCGGCTCTATCTGAAGATAAATGCAAAAATGTCCTCGGGTGAGGATTAAAAAAAAACTAAAAGAAACATTTTCTTTTTTTTTTTTTCCCTTCCTTTATTGATTTTAGTGAGAGGGAGAGAGAGAGAAACATCAATGAGAGAGAACATTGATTGCTCACCTCCTGCATGCCCCCCACTGGGGATTTGGCCCACAACCTGGGCATGTGCCCTGACGGGAATCGAACCAGCCATCTCCTGGTGCATGAGTCAACGCTCAACCACTGAGCCACACCGGCCGAGCAAAAGAAACATTTTCTCATACTTTACTTTTATTCCCCTCTGTATTATAGAGTAATATTATGCTTTTGTAAAAATTCTGTGGGTATGTTAACTATAAATTTCACTTCAGGGTAGGAAAGGGCACGTGAAATATTTATAGAAAAGAGAGTCTAAGAGGTCTGAGAATTTTTCTCCATCAGCCGGGACTTGGGTACTTGAGGATTCCAGGTCATGAGTTTTGGCAAGTGGTCAATTGACCTTGAGATGGCTTTGAATTGCTCACAGCAGTTTACCTGCCCGCCTCTCCCACCGGACTGAAAGTTCCTTGGAGGTCCGGGCAGCAGGTCTTCATCTTCTCTGCCCCTCCCCTCCCACGGTGCCAGCCCTGGGCTGGGATTCAGGCCTCCCTTCGCAGGAGGCGTCCGCTCCACCCCAGCAGGAGCTGCATCCCCTGAGGGCAATGCCTGGAGTTGAGAAACAACGTCCACATTCAGGGTTGAAGGAGCAGCTGGGGATATGGGAAGCCTCCCGCTCTATCTCTGCTTTTCCAGAAATGCCACCATCTCCGAGCAGGGCGTTAATCAGTAACGGTCCCATGGGGTCGCACTTTGGAACAGCAAATATTTGCTACAGGCTTTCGGCTACAAACCCCAACCTTCTGTCTCTGCCCTGAATGAGGGACCTTCCCAGGCACCCAGGGGCCGCTCACTGGTAAGAGGCAGTGGACTGAAGGGAGACCTTTACAGTCTACCCAGCAAAGGGCGGGCAGTGTTCTCCTCTCTGGATGGGCTCTAAGGTGAGGGGTGGGAGCCTGGGCAGCGTGGGCCGGAGAGGGCAGCGGTGGGTGAGAGGTGTGTTGTAGGCGCAGGAGGAGGAAAGAAGATGAGGCTTTTAAGTCCTCAGAGTTTGTGCCCACAACCCTCACTGTCCAAGCCACACTCAACGTCCTGGCTTTCTTCCTGCCCAGGTGAGCGAACCCCCACCTCCAGGGCGGTGTGGGGGTGCTGCTCCAGATCCATTCAGGGCTGAGAAGTGGGGAGTGAGCTGTTGGTTTCTTACCACTCGGGTTCTATTTAGGATGATACATCCTCAGTGTGCTTGATGGAACCCTGGTGCTTGAGGGGTGCCCTGCATACAGCCTGATCCAGTCAGTGGGTGAGCACGACCTTAGGGGTTCACGGGTCTGTCCAGGAAGCAGGGTACAGGGTGCCATAATCCTGGGCTGCACCTGCAGACTTAGCGACTGGAAGGGGTGCCACCTCTTTGGGGGCTGGGTCTGTCTCCTGACCTGCCAGGGAGAAGTGGTCTGAATTCAGGAGTATGCCACCATGGCATTAATGTATTTAGAAAGGGGTGCGAAATACTGTATACAGGCAGAGCTCGGACATACCGTGGGTATTGAGGCTCCAGGCTGCAGTAAAGTGAGTATCGCAATAAAGCGAGTCACATGAATCTTTTGGTTTTCCAGCGTATATAAAAGTCATGTTTATACTATACTGTAGTCTATTAAGTGTGCAACTGTCCTGTCTAAAACACAATATGCATACCTTAGTTAAAAAATACTTTATTGCCCTGGCCGGTTTGGCTCAGCGGTTAGAGCATCGGCCTGCGGTCCTGAGAGACCCGGGTTCGGTTCCTGCTAAGGGCATGTACCTCGGCTGCAGTTTGTCCCCGGCCCTGGTCGGTTGTGCGGGTGGCAGCCACTCGATGTGTTCCTTTCACGTCAATGCTCTCTCTCTCTCTCTCTGTTCCTCTCTCTCCCTCCCACTCTACCTGAACAAAAAAATGGAAAAATGTCCTTGGGTGAGGATAAAAAAAAAAAAAAAAATACTTTATTTCCACCCTGGCCGGTTTGGCTCAGTGGTTAGAGCATCGGCCTGCGGACCAGAGACTCCCGGGTTCGGTTCCTGCTAAGGGCATGTACCTCGGCTGCAGTTTGTCCCTGGCCCTGGTTGGGACCACTCACTGTCTCTCTCTCACGTCGATGTTTCTCTCTCTCTCTTCCTTCCTCTCTCTCTCCTGCTCTATCTGAAGATAAATGCAAAGAAGTCCTCGGGTGAGGATAAAAAAAAAACTTTATTGCTAAAGTGCGATCTTGACTTGATGTCAATGCAAACGCATATCTGGGAAGCACAGTCAGACAGGGGGGGTCCGTTTGGATACTGCGAAGAGTACTTAACCAGCATTTGCAATACTGTAGGGAGCTCTTGAACTCGGCCTTGACGCTTAGAATCGCACTCGGTTCCCTAAACACTGACACTTAAGGAAGGTGGTGACTCAGGCTGAATTCTGCTGTGACACGTAGCATAAGCAAGAACCGTGTACTGAGTCCTGGGGCCTGGGACCATTTGTACCAGGCACAGGCGAGGACACAGGCCTCTGCGTCAGGGAGAGGAGGCCTGGGACTTCCCCGTGTCACCACATTTTGCTACAAGTGGGCTGGTTCAGAATGAGGGTCTCTACTGATGGGAACTCCCGTGAGGCCTGCAGCCTCCTCTGCCCAATGCCCACTGGGCTGACAGTCCTGCCCCACCCAGGCCCTCCTGGGGCCATGGGCCCAGAGGAGAGTGAAAATGCATCTCAGTGACCTGCCCAGCCAGCCTCTGGGTCACAGACCTGGACACTGGGAGCCGAGTGTGGAAGACTGTCAGGTGGCACAGCCCAGCCCACGGTGTTTATTCAGAGGGAAAATGCAGGTGCTCAGGAGCCAGGCTCCGTGCCCGAGAATGCCAGGGACCCGGAGACGCGGCAGGGCTGGGACAGCTGGTGGGGAGCGTGGGGTCTGGAGGCCCACTGCCCGGGCCCGAAGGCTGGCTCCACCTGGGGCGGTGAGAGCGAGGACACACTTCAGTCGGTCAGGCGGGCCAGGCTGGCTGGTCATTTCCATCCGGGGGCTCCAGGTAGAGGAAGACCTGGAAGGAGCTGTGTAACTGGGCCCCAGTGCTGGGGGCGGGGCAGGGGACAGGATTCTGATCGCTGAATCAGGCAGACTCAGCACTTTCCCTGTTCCTGTCACTTGGACCCTCTACATCGCCAGCCAAACATGCCCAGACCCAGGTCACCGAAAGCCAGCTTGATGGGCTGCTGTCAGGCCCGGCAATCAGGGGCAGTGAAGGAAGCAGGCCAATAAATGTCCGTGACCTCCTGACCCCACCCTGCTCTGACCCACACTGTCAGGCCTGGGACCAGACCATGTCCTCTCTAAGCCCCCCCTTCTGGGAGGCAGTGGAATGAGCGGGAGAGCTGGGGGAGGCCAGGAGCTGCCCGAGGGGTGGCAGCGGAGGGGACCCAGAGATTGTGTTCCTCCTCGGGTGAACCTCAGCCACCTTCTTGCTCCGGGTCTCCCTGAGGGGACTCGCTTTGTCCACCCCCTGCCCACCCCCGAAAGGAAGGAAACGGGTCACGGAGGGTTGGACCATACGCAGGGCTGAGTGACTGCGTCAGGTGTTAAGAGCAGTCTCGGTCCTCTTTTGTCCCCAGGAAGTCTCGTGCTGAAGAAGGCTGCCCAGATGAAGGCGCTGGGCCTCCTGCTCCCCTGCCTCCTGGCCGAGGTGTGGCTGGTGGCCGGCTTGGGCCCTGGTCACCCGTCACCAGAGGCCCGGGCAGGGCCAGAGAGTCCGCGGACCCCCACTGCCCAGAACGAGACCTTCCGGGGAGCGCAGGCCCCTGAGGAGGAGGATCCGGAGGAGCCCTGGAGGGCGGCCAGCGGGCACCAGCTCTCTGAGGAGACCTCCAACTTGGGGTTCACCCTGCTGCGTAAGATCTCCATGAGGCACGAAGGCAACGTGGTCTTCTCCCCGCTCAGCCTGTCCTTGGCCATGACGGCCCTCATGCTGGGCTCCACAGGGCAGACCAAAGCCCAGCTGGAGGTCGGGCTCCGCCTGCAGACCCTGAACCAGACCTGGCCCGGACACCTGCCCACCCTCTTTCAGTGGCTCAGAGAGCGTCTCTCCCGCAACCGGGAGCTGGGCCTCACCCAGGGGAGCCTGGCCTTCATCCACGAGGACTTTGATGTCAAAGAGACCTTCCTCAATTTATCCAAGAGGTATTTCGATACAGAGTATGTGACTATGAATTTTCGCAATGCCTCTCAGGCCAGAAAGCTCATGAATCATTACATTAACAAAGAGACGCAGGGGAAAATCCCCAAACTCTTTGATGAGATTAATCCTGACACCAAATTAATTCTTGTGGATTACATCTTGTTCAAAGGTATTTCGATAATGTTCTGCTCTCCCAAAGCCATGGGTCTCTACGCCAGCCTCTCCCTTTCCTCTCGCCCAGCGTACAGTCAATGCCAGATGATTTCCTGTGAACAGTTTTCAGGTGTCACAAACGGACTGACACAGGCATTGACTGTACACGAAGTTCCAGGCACAGAGCTGGACGTGTTCATTTGATGCCCCCGCCGGGGGCCCACGTGCTTGGAGTCCTCAGTGTTCCAAGCACCTTTACGCAGCTCTTCTCGCCTCTAGTTCTGACTCAGCGAGTCTTCCGGGCAAATGATGTGAGATTTCGGGTTATGTCTTCGCTCCTTCCCTCTCTCCTTTTGTGACCTAGGGCAAGTGCCGGTCTCTTGTCCTCAGATCCTTAATATAGAAGGTGGGGGCACTCCACCTACTGTACAGGTGGAAGTGAGGCTGAGGTCAGCTTGATCGAGGTCACATGACAGAGGCCAAACTCAGCGAGCGGGTCTCGACCCTCTCACGCCAGATCCTTTCCATCCTGCCCCTCTAACGGGGCAGGGGACTTGTGTGGCCACTGCTGCCGCAGAAAGCTGGCACTAGGGACTTGCAGAGTCTGGGAGGAGGAGGTGCTTCCCGTTGGCCAGGCCACCCCCCAGGACAGTCACGCTGCTGCGTGCTGGTGGCCTCACCTGGCTCGTGTGGCTGTTTGGCAGCAAGGGGCCCCTTCTCTCAGAACCCCCGAGTCTCATGGGTGGGGAAGGTCAGCACGTGTGCACAGTGGCTCTGCCCCGTCTGTGCGCGCTACCCAGACAAGGGCGGGCAGAGGGCCCCTCAGGAACACAGGGCTGGGAGGGGCCCAAAGCCTCTTGCAGGCTGGAGCGGAGCACAGGGGCGGAGGGTTAGGACGCTCCCTTGCTGTTGTGATTCCGACAGGGCCTGCGGTGGTCCATGTTCTGCCAGCTGGGAGAGGAGCCCCAAAAGCTCGCTTTGGGGACTTTGTTTTGCGGGCCTGAGCCGTGGGCAGAACAAACCTCACCGAGGACTGCCCTTCCTGGGTGGGTGGAAAGCGGGATAGAGCCCTGGCCCTCGGTGACTCCAGCAAGAATGATGCTCCTAGGAGGGTGGTTTCCACACCAAGTCTTCCTCTTACCTGTTCAGGGAAATGGCTGACCCCTTTTGACCCCGTCTTCACCGAGGCGGACACTTTCCACCTGAACAAGTACAAGACGATTAAGGTGCCCATGATGTACAGAGCAGGCAACTTCGCCTCCACCTTTGATAAAAACTTCCGTTGCCACGTCCTCAAACTGCCCTACCAAGGCAATGCCACCATGCTGGTGGTCCTCATGGAGAAAATGGGTGACCACCTCGCTCTTGAAGACTACCTGGGCCCAGACCTGGTGGACACGTGGCTGAGAGACATGAAAACCAGGTACAGGAGAGCCCTTACCCGGGACCAGCTCAGCCTTCCCGTCCTTCCAAGCTCTGACCACCATTCCGTGGCTCAATGCCCACCTCCCCCCGTGGCCGATGGCCCTGGGAGCAGTGTGTGTATGTGTCCCGAGTTCTGCTCTGTCCCGGCACCTCCCACAGCGCCCGGCTCGGCCATTCGCTCGGCCAGCACTTGCTAAGGCGCTGCTGCGCCAGGCGCTCAGACGTGCGCAGCGGAGCCTACGTTCCAGTGAAGGGGGGCGAGTAGGTCAAAGTACAGGGGGCGGGGGGCACCAGCAGCGTGCAGGTGGGCGCCAGGAGAACCCCGGAAGTGGGGCAAGACCGCGTGGGTATCTTGGGGGAGAGAAGTGTTGCAGGCAGAAATGAGACGTGCTGGGATGGAAGAAGGCAGCCAGGGAGGGGGCGAGATCAAATACCAGGGCCCAGTCACAAGGACCCTACGTTCTAGGCCCCGAAAGACGTGGGCTCTTCCTGAGGGAGATGGGGAGCCACAGGGGGCTCCAAGCAGAGGAGCAACGGATCTGCCTTGTGTTTGGAGGGCCACACAGCTCCTCTGCTGAGCAAAAGCATTGGGGGGGTGGGGCAGGAGAGCAGCGAGGTCACTGGACCCACCAGACCGGGATGTGCCCCCTGGCAGTGGGCGGCAGTGGGTGGCAGTGCGGGGATGAGCAGCAGTCGGACCCTGGATCTATGAGGAAGCCAGAGGAACAGGATTTGCTAGGGGACTGGATGTGGAGAGGGAGAGGGGGAACGAGGGGATGAAGTGAGCAAGGGGAAAGGAGGGTAAGCTCATTCTAAACGGCAGACATTATTCTGGGCTCTTACATTTCAGCCAACCCTCCGAACAACCCTGGGAAATCAGTGCTGCTCTTTTTGACTGCATTCCATGGATTAAGAGATCGTGACTTAAGTCTAATCTGGTGTCAATTTTTCAGCCATAAAACTCATCTCTCCAAACAAAGTAACTTCAAAGGAGAACTCCAATGTCTATACAGTAGATAATATCAGCATTTCTCTGGCTACAGATACATAGGGGGTTGAGAGTTCGCTTCATCCTGCTCTTGCTGTCCATCCCCAGGCTCCTCCGGTTGTCCTGGGAGCTAGACATTGAGGGCAGCCGTCATCCTGGTCTGCAGGACTGCTGGAAGCAAAACACTGCTGCAAGCAGCTACTTGGCTTGGGTTGTTTTTAAAACACAGGGAAATGGGTGCAAAATAGAGTACTCTTTGCTAAAGAGAGTTAGTCACTGGCTGGGAAATCAAACTGGTTCGGTGAGGCTGGAGTTATGTATCTATATAAGCCAGAACTGTCTTCTGTGAGCTGGACCATTACAAAAGAATGGAATGAGCTATACATACAGTCAAGTGAGGGAGACTCATTAATGGAAGTAATCTTGGAGAAAGGAAAGAAAAAAGTGTGACCCTTTTAGAGGGCAGGGTCTAAGGCTTTTGCCTACATTTCACCATTGTATGTCCTTGTACCACAGAAATATGGAAGTTTTCTTTCCAAAGTTCAAGTTAGATCAGAAGTATGAGATGCATGAACTGCTTAAGCAGATGAAAATAACAAGAATCTTCTCACCCTGGGCCGACCTGAGTGAACTCTCAGCTACTGCAAAAAATCTGAAAGTGTCTAAGGTAAGTCAGGCTCGTTTATTAGGACCCGAACCCTAAATATGAAATGGGACCAAAACCAGCACATATTTTGCACATAATTTTAATGACAAAATACCAAGTGGTAGTAGAAATTTAGATTAAATACCAAAGACTTGAAGTAGCACCCAAGTTGGATGTTTTAGAATTTTTGAGCTACTTTATTAAAACATTAGTTCAACTAATTTCTCTTACTCTAGTAGAGCTGTCCCTCTTCTCTCCCAAATGCTCAAGGAGAAATTTCTCCCTAAAAAGGAACTGATTCAGATTCATATAAAATTACACCACTTTCAAGATGAAAGAAACCCCCAGAAGGCATCTGCCCAACTTCCTGCCACTTGTTGGAATCTCCTCTATAATATCTCTGCAAAAACCCTGCAGTTTTTCCTTCCTTCCTTCCTTCCTTCCTTCCTTCCTTCCTTCCTTCCTTCCCTCCCTCCCTCTTTTCTTTCTTCCTTTCTTCCTTTTTTCTTTCTTTCTTTCTCTCTACCCCCACCCCTTTCCCTCTCTTCCTTTCTTTTTAATGTTCCCAGTGACAGGAAACTCAAAACTCAACACTTCTTTGAAAAGCAGCTCAATCCACAACTGTATTTTGGTTTTTCATATATATATGTATGTATTTTTTAACCTGTAACCCCCTCCTAACTCACGCTCTTTGGCCCTTGTTCTGTGTCTAAAGCTCCTCCGACAAGGTCGTCACCTTCCACCAGGAATCCCTTCAGCTACGCTGTGCTCTCAGTGGAAGCGCAGCTGGTTTGAGGGGACGTGATCCTGCTGTTCAGAACAGCTCAGCGCATTGCAGGGAACTGGCCAGCCCCCTGGCCTGCCCGCTAACACCAGCAGCAACCTCCCAGTCACTACTGCAACTGAAAAAATGTTCTGACATTTCCAAATGGCAGCCATACCTTCCCACTCTTTCTTAGCTGTGGGGTCTGTTAACATTTTCCCATGGAATTGTCTTTTCTCATGCGAGAGAGATGAAAATGGCATCCACCTAAGTAGGACTCGGTAGGTAACCGCGGCCTGCGGTCAGGCCTTCATCTCAGGGAAGGCAAGACAAATAAACAGGACAGTCCTGCAGACCAGCACTTGGAAGGCTTTCTGCTGCCAACACGTGGGAAATTGGAGCAATGTGCTCTTTTACAGTTTAAATTGCAAACTAAATATTCTCCATTGACCCCAGGAAGTACATTTTCACTCCAGGAATTGAGGGAATCCCCGTGTGTTATTACACTGATGTTTCTGTTATCTCCTCTTATAACGATATTGGTAGATCACCCAAATACGAGGCTCCTGGACAAAAGGGCCCCCCAACCGTGACAGGTGGCCTGAGTGCAGGCACCGGAGCTCGGGAAGACTCAAGGACCCGAGGGCTTGGCCCAGGGACCTCTCAGAGCAGTGCGAGGTGCTGGGAAGCTGCCGCAGGAGACTACCACCCGTGTCCCTGACCCGTTTGCCTGCCAGAAGGAAGGTCAGAGGATTCAGGGGTTCCAGGCAGCTTGAGAACCTTCTGGAGGAGCACCAGCTCCGACCAAGAATCAGCAGCACAAAGCGCATGCTCGGTATTTGCGGATCTGACGCACACTTGCATGAACTGACCAGCCAGAGTCCCTTGGTCCACCCCAACATGGGTTTCACGTTTGGGGCCCTGGGGTCTCCTGGTATTGTTTTGAGCTTCTAAGGCGAGTCCCTGGAGCAGCCTGACCATTCCTCTCAGCGCAGAGCCCTGTACCCCTACTTCCCCGGCTCATGGCCCTGTGGGTAGGACCACAGCAAAAAATGTCAAGGGCTCAACAATTCCTCCCTCTCCACTGCCACCCAGATGGTCTTCCACATTATCTCCTCTCCTAGGTTTTACAAAGAACAGTGATTGAGGTCGATGAAAAAGGAACCAAGGCAATGGCGGGGACCGTCTCAGAAATCATTGCTTATTCCATGCCTCCCATCATCAAAGTAGACCGGCCATTTCATTTCATGATCTATGAAGAAACATCTAGAATGCTTCTATTTCTGGGCAGGGTGGTGAATCCAACCCTCCTGTGATTTATGACAAGCGTGTGTACTCAGATGCTGACTCTGAGGGACGGAGCTCACACAGGACACTGGCTCTGGGTGGCAGGAGAGTGACTCCTGTCCTCTGCTAGTTTGAGCCATTCTTGGATAAACCTGAGTATTAAAATCAAACTCATTTTAAAGAGATGTTTGTACAATCTGTTTGGTATTTTAAGCCTGTTTCTAAGAGCTTTTGTTGTTGACTAAAGACTAGCTTGGTAGAATATATTTATCGTTCTGTTACTCATGTATCTATACTTAAAAAAAGGTAGACCAGGACACTATTTCCAGATGAAGCCTTTGGGAGGGAGACAAGTGGACATTCTCCATGAGTCATGTGCTTCATTCTCTTTATTTTCCTCTCATGCAAAATGTAATCTATTATAGAATCATTTGCTGACTAAGATCGGAAAAACAGCTGTAGTAGGTCCCAATCCCAATACCTGCCTCAGCATGGCTCAGTCTACTCCAGGGTGAGTTAAATCACTTGGTTGAGGCATTAACTGAGCCACAGGTCACCTCGGTCAATACCTTCATTTGTCAAAGGACAGAAATGGGGAACAGGAGCCAGTCACATTATGAGTTTCATGGGCCCCAGGCACTTTTGTGGTCTTTCCTCCATGAAAAAAAAAAATAGATATGTGTGTTAAAAATTGTATTTTATGATTGCATTAGTGTACAATTAAATATCTTAGGGCTTGTATTTGTCTATACCAGTACAGTCAAAGTATGTAACCTGCTTATTGCAAGAAGTAAAACATCTTCATGGGCCCCAAAAAGTGTCATGGGCCTTAGGCACTGTGCCTACTGCCCCTAATGGATAAATGACATGGGTCATCTCAGAGAGAAAGGCAAACACTCGCCAAGGTCACCCGGGGTGGCAATGACAGGGTCTCCAGACTCCAGGCCCCAGGCTCGTTTTACTTTTCTTTCTTTTGATCTAAACCATCTGGTGAGGTCCAACTAAACAGCAGCATGCGCCCACCTCTCGGTCACCACTGTGGCTACACGAAATGGAGGGTGGACTCCGCCCAAGGTTCACAGGAAAATAGCAAACACCCCTGACGCTTTCCTAAGCAGTCATTTTCTGTTACAGAGACAAGAAAATATCTTAGGAGTAAATTCTGAGATTCCTGAATAGAGCTGACTGATCTTGAAGTGCCAACTGTGTTAACTAAATGCCCAGTTGGATTTCTATCTGTTTGCGATCCAATTTTATACCTAAAATTAATGTACTAATTAACTATTAATTTAAATCAAAGTAGTGTGTGTCATATTAATGTGAATATGTAATAATATTAAGCAGCAGTATAAAGATTGACTTTTCATCATTCTAAAATCTGGACATTCATTCATTCCTGTATTCCTTTCAAGGGCACTAATTGAAAATTGGTAAGAGCAAAGCAATTCTAGGGCTTAGAAAGAGAAACAAAAATAGAGCACTAACTCCAACTGGCATCCCTCGGTGACTTGTTAGTATTCAGGTAACCAGATTTATTTGTAGAAAAATACTAGAAAGAGAAATAAAAGAAGGTTCAATCAAGTTACCCAATTTTAAGAGATGAAATTTAGAAAAGAAAGGCTATGAAAACATACTATCCTCTGAAAAAAATATGGCCAAACCCATATGAAACAGTTCATTATTATTGAAGGATTCATATAACAAGCAAAGTAAACTCTCCCCTCATCTCCCACATGCACTGCAAAAAGATAACGGCATAACCATTATATCTAACACATTGCTCTTTAAGGCTGAAAATGGCCCTATTCTCTCTCTCTTTTTTTTTAAATTTTAACATCACCCACATATGCTGAAGAAGCTCCTAAGACACTAGGTTTCAGATTTTCCAAGTATATACGCTGACCGATGGTGAAGAAATGCAGACCAATGAGAAGTGTAATTAATAATACAAAAATTCAAGGTTTCAACCTCAACGTTATAACAAGGTTTTGTTATATTTAAATGTCAGGTTTTAAAAACTGTTCCTACACAGACAGACAGACATAGACATCCACATAACACAGTCTCTCACACATGCTATAATAATTGAGGACAGATTATTGAATTAATCTAATTCATTTATCTTGACTGTAAAACTCCTACTCAGGCTGAAGAGCCTGTTCATTTCCATTCAAACAGTTCATGTTTGCCTACTAACTGCAAGGCACAATGAACCTGTCCCTTCCAGAGTATGGTGTCTGAGCTCAGGAAGTCAAATAATAGAAATGATTTTCAAATGCATATGAGGTTGTAGAAGAAAATTTCTGCATGTTCCTTATTTTACCTCTATAAAGTAGAATCTTTATAAGCCCCAGCTCCATTTCTGCCAGAAAAATTGAGTTCTACAGGTCTGTTTCTTTGTTTGTTTGTTTGTTTGTTTGTTTGTGTTGTTTTGCTTGTAATGCTAACCTTCTAGAACCTATCCTTAAAAATGCAAGTTTCCATAACTGACAGATGAAGGTGATGTCCCTATTTCCCTGCAGTTATAGGTGAAGGAGACCTTTCTTTGTCCTACAGCTACTTTAAGGGAACTATCTGACAAGTTGTGAAACTAAGGACTTCTACAAGAGCATCAGTCTTGTTTCGGGGTAAAGACAGATATTCATAACTGTCATCAATTTGTTTTTTACCCTGTTTTTATATATCTGGTTTTGGAAATATATATAATTTTAACAAATATTTCAATGATTTTACAAATTATCATGTTCTGGGGGGAAAAAAACTTCTCAGCATAATTTTGATCGACTGTCTTAAGTGAGAATTTAGTGAAGACTGCAGCAGTAGTGACTTTCCTCTGTCAAATCTCTTTCCTCTTTTCTCACATGCATAAAGGAAATAAAAGTTCCAACTCTGCTAAATTTATTATTAAACAAGTAAGATGAAATTATCTGTTTTATTTAAAATAAGAGTCAATGCTGATGGTGAATCAAAGTGCTGGGAAAATTGATGTCACTCTGATGTCCCGTTTATGCACCACAAATACTCTCTCCCAGGTCACAGTGTGTTCAAGTCCATGTTAGTGATGTGGCAGGAGGTATCATTAAAATAGTTCAATGAAATCCACAAATAATGTACTAAATTAGTCATATGGTCAAGTTCTCACACCTTCTCAATTTTTAGGAACTGACAAGTGGGTAATTGAACAATTCCATTAACCTATCCTTACGTGAAAGGTATTAAAAATCGCTAAAAAGAGGCGGACTATAAGGAAAGGAGGAAGAAAGGCGTGCAAGTTTCACCCTGAGCAGCTGTTCCTGAGTAATTCACAGTTGTCCTCAGTGTCTTCTGCTGCTCATTACTCAAAAATGAATTGTCTTACTCTTTAATGAGAATAAAAACTTTAAAAAAGTATTTAAAACTTTTTTCACAAACACAGGTATCTCATTAACCTATGTTTTATTTTAGGTAAATTCACTATTCATTATTTCACATTATAAAAAGTAACCACACACACATATGCATTCACAAATTAGATCATCTTTATCATACATCAATATATTTAAAAAACAAATATTTTCTAATATCAATATAGTTATAGGCTGATTGCATTTTGAAATAGAGAAGCTGACAATAGCTTCATACAGTATATCTCAAGAACTGACATTTTAAAATTAATAACCGTATATGTTCCATAGGCAAATTTTGATGGAAATATTAGCATTAGTACAAATAAATGCTGTGGACATAGCTTAAGCATGATAGCTTAGAATAACAGCTGATTCAAACTAGATTCATCATTTTTAATCAAGGACAAATACAATCTAAAACATAAACAAAGTATTTATAAAATAAATTTTTCTAGGAAATAAAGGAAATCATGAATCTGTTATTTTTAAGGTAGTTGTGGCTAAAAGTTACCCGAAATCTCTCTGGAATTTTCATTGCCAAATTTAAATTTCAGAATATCTGGGCATGACATATTGTCACCATAATGGGACCGACAGAACCATGGACAGCTGTTCGTACCCTTTTCGGTGTGACTTTTTAATTGGGCTTGGAGATTCATGAGAAATGCAATGTCTTTCTTATTCCCAAGTCCCCTCCCAAGTGATCCCTCTAGCTAGGACAATTGCAGTTAATGTAGACTTTCATATGATTTTAATGCTAAAGCTCTAGAACAAGTAAATAGGTGGTTTCCTGCAAAAATAAATGCATTCTTGTCTTTCTGCAGCAGTAAAGCACATACTAAAGTTGTTTTTCATTACACTTCACTATAACATTGGAATTCTGCGACCACATTATTATTTAATAAATATATATGTTATACCTCCTAGGGAATCTAATTTCAAATATGAAACTTTTAGCAACATCAGCTGCCCTAATGTATCTCTTTTCCATTCATTTAAAAAAAAAGAAGCCCCAGCCATTGCTTTAGCTTTTGTCCATCAATCACATTATCTCCAGGTGTCTTTGTTTTGCCTCCTTCATCAAGCAGATGATTTAAGGGTTGGATTTTCTGGATTTTCTTTGTCAAAAAGGAAGAAAGAAAGAAGAAGGAAGAGAGAGGAAGAAAGAGAAAGAGAGAAAGGGAGGGAGGTATGGAAAGAGGGAGGGAGAGGGAGGGGGAAAGAGGAAAGAAAGAGAAGAAGAAAAAAAAACATGAAAAATTTTATCCATATAATGCTTAAAAAATAAATAAATATAGATAGAATCTACGCTGAATAAAACTAATATATGAGAATTCTGATTAAGTGAAAAAGTAAATTACACATTAAATATTACTTGGAGTTACCATTAACAACCAAATCCTATATGTACCTAACAAAGCATTCAATTCAACTCATACAACTTTTCTTACATTTTTTATTTTGTATAACCATAACAGATATTCATGAAGCTTAAATATATTAATTATCTGGCCTTAAAAGACAGGATATGATGCATTCCCATACCTCCTTTAAGACACTGATATTCCTAAATACCAGACGTATGCATCATCTCTATGATACTAACAAGTTGGAGAACGTATTGCAGAGGGTTTTGTTGACCAGCAAAAACAGATAACTAACGTTTTCTGAAATCATTTCCTAGCGTATTTTAAGAATAAAGGATGGATTTTCATGTGGATGGCAC